ACATTCCCTTAATCTCTACTAACCCTAAACCCTAAAACCTAGAATGTATTCCCTTAATCTCTGCTAACCTAAAACCCCTAAACCCTAAACCCTAAATCCTAAACCCTAAATCCTAAATCCTAAATCCGAAACCCCGAAAGACCGACTCTGGCAAGGCCCCGGACCTCGTTGAGGAGGACGCCCAAACATTCTGACATGGTGGCCACTGGCAAACCTAGGGGGGCAATTTACGGCTTGGGAATACAGGGGCTGTATTAGGGGCTCGCTACATGTCAGGGTCTAGGGTTTAGGGATAGGCAAGGGTTCATACACGGGTTATTATTGGGGTTGTATAGGGATATATTAGGGCTACATTGGGGTTATAATGGAGAATTAAATGGAAAAGGAAATGGAAAACAAAATGGAACCTGGGATTTGAGGGTTTATAGGTAGTACCATTAGGGTTGTGTTGGGGTTTTATGGGGATGATGGAAAAGAAAATGGAAACTTCCATAACGGGTTATCTAGGGTTTAGAGTTTAGGGCTAGGGTTTGCGGTGTAGGGTTGAGGGTTTAGGGATTCTGCTTTAGGGAGGAGGGTTTGGGGTTGAGGGATTAGGGTTGAGGGTTGAGGGCTGAGAGTTTAGGGGCTTCTGGCAAGCATGGGAATCATCACTTAAAAGGGGTTGTAGGGTTTTGGACGCGCCCTTTGGTGTTGAGGGTTGAGGGTTCCATGGGTTGTAGACTCTAGGGCTTAGGATGTACATTTAAATGCGTTTGAATAATGGAACACCAAACGGAGAAAAAAAAATGGAACGTGAAATTGAGGAAGGATTCATGTGAATTGTAGTCTAAACTCCTAGTATCCCCCTCAATAACCCGTATAGCAGTCCCCTATATCATCCCTCATAGATGCCCCTTCAAGGAGTTTAGGCTATTGCCATGTAGGAGGTTTATAGAGATTGCACGCGGGGGCTGATTGAGTTGGAACAGGGTTCGGCGACAGGCTGTGCCGTAGTCCTATCGGGGTTGTAAGGGATGATAATGCTAAGCCTTCAGGCGTCTACTTTGGGTGCTTACGAAGGGATTGGGGGTTTAGGGTGCAGGTTTTCAGGGAAGGAACAGGGTCTTGGGCTCAGGGTCTTGTACAGGGGTACGGATTTGATTAGGTCGAGGCCTTGTCGGGCTCCAAGAATTGTAGGATGTGGGGGGCTTAAGACGACATGTTGAGGATTTTCGATTTCGAGTCCGCCCCCTAAACACCCTGAACACCCTAAACACCCTAAACAACCTAAACACCCTATACACCTACGGCATGAGCTTCAGCGGTGAAAACTCGGTGGTCTGCGTGTCCAGCAGCAAGTGTGTTTAAGGTTTAGGGTTTAGGGTGTTGGGGGAATATAATGGGAACCCTTGTTGAGAAATACTCACATGGTTCTCGATTTCATGCACCCTGAACCCTAAACCCTGAACCCTGAGCAGTACTGATGGAGAGTGTCTTGCTGACTTTTATAGCTGGAGCAGGCCGCGTGAGTTCTTGGATGCACTGAAAGGGTTTAGGCTTCAGGGACTAGCTCTATAAAAGACCGCGACAATCAGGGACGCGGAGGCCCCTGCCCAAAGCCTTGACCCACAAGGAAACATGTATCAACAAATTCCCATTGTGGTATACCGTAATACATGTGTATATATATATAAACCAAAACCCTAAACCGTATGTACAGATATATATATATATATGTATCTTTCTGGGGTATTCAATTTCAGGGTTTAGGGCTTCGGGGTTTTGATATTTGGGGGAGGTGGTTACAGCAAGGCATTTTGGCAGCCGCCAGCTGTTTTTTGTAGCAGCAAAAACACGGTTTAGGATTTAGGGTTTAGGATCTAGGGTTTTGGATTTAGGGTTTTGGATTGAGGATTTAGGGTTCAGGGTTTAGGGTTTGGGTACTCAGAATTGGGGCTTCACTGAGACTTTTCCCCAAGCCTCCGCACCTCTACCCTGCAGACAAACCCTGCATGCCCACACAAACGCCGAACCCTTCAATCCTTCACCCCTCAAGCATGAACTACTAAACTCTTTGCCTCTCAACCCTTAACCCCTATAGACTCAACACTCTTGACCCTTAAACACTATTCCCCGAACCCCCAGCCCCTAAACCCTTAACCATTTGCGCCCAAGCAACGCCAGCAGCCAACAGCGGCAAAGGCAGGTAATAGCAGGATGTTGACCCACACCTGAAGACAAATATCGCATTGTGGGTAAATGGGCTTAGGTCTTAGGATGGCGCTGTAACTGCCATGTGACATTGGGGTTATATATGGGGAGAATGGAAAAGAAAATGGAAACTATAGGGATTATTAGGGTTATATAGGGATTAGTTATGGGGTATATTGGGGTTATATGGGGATAATGGAAAAGAAAATGGAAACCACCCAGAGTTTGGGGGCTTTAGGGTCATACCTTTCGGGGTCAGGCTGCCGGCTTACCAAAAACCCTCTCATTACAGTGTTGGTCTTGGTGGTTGAACTAAGGTGATGAGGCAAAGTACTGCAACCAAAAGGTCAATGTCATCTTATGCCATGTTTCTGAGTTAGGGGACCTTAAACACCTAGTCAAGAAAGTACAAATTTGTCATGTTTTGTTTTACAGATTAAGGAGATGAGGGGGGGGGGTAGTTTCGGCTGGGCGGGTCTAGAGTCTAGGGTCTTGCGACGTCAGGGCAATTATATCAGCGAACTAGCAGCCAAAAAAACCTCCACCCACACTAAAGCCTTACAAAACACGAGTGCTACCTAAGCACGACGCAGTTTTTGAAGAGGCTGTCAGACAACGCCTTGCTATAATTTGGGCTTTTACCTACCTAGCCGCACACCCCAAAAAACAGTACATGAGCCCAGCTTCCATGTCTGTTTTGATTTGGTTTTCCATGTAGATGAAGCTTGAGCTTTTTCCTAACTAAGCCCTTTGCCAAAATGCCCATTTTTTGAGTCAGAGACCCTAAACCCCAAAAAAAAACAGATGTTGCGAAAAGACCAAGGTACTGAAAATGTCAGATCAGGCGAAAACGATCCGATGAAAACTCGCCCCATGTAGTTTGCCGGCACAAACCTGGGAGGCGCGGAAGGGTTCAAGGATTACCGAGGTTTAGGGTTTAGGGTTTAGGGTTACCTAAAGTGAGGCAACCCTACTAGTTACTATAGACCCATAAGAGCTATAGTCCAAACTCTCAGTATCCCCCTTGATATCCCCTATATTAGTCCCCTATGTATACCGGTATACAACCACTTTAAGGAGCCTAGGTTATGGCTCATATTATGGTAACTTAATTGAAGTTCCTTGGCTGCAACCCAGTCTAGGGTTCAGGGCATGTCTAGTGCCGAGACCCATGCCATAAAGTGGTTGTGGGCTGGGCCGCCTTTGTACTGGAGATCTAAACCCTAAACCCTAAACCCTAAACCCTGAACTCAACACCCTAAACCCTAAACCGTAAACTCAAAAACCATCACCTCGCAGCAGCTCAGAGTTTAGGGCTTAAGGTTTAGGGTTTAGTGTTTTTCACAGAATAAAGTTTGCGGCAAGGTACAAGACTCGTTTTGAAACAATCTGGGTTGACTGTTGGGGGTTGGCATTTTGCGTGCGGTCACCAGCAAAGGCGAAGCTCAAAGTTTTCGTCGAATTTCCGCTTATTTACTGCAGGCCGAAAAAAGATCTTCTGAGCAGGACTTGTTTTGAATGTTGGGTCCTGTCCCACAAGTCCCTGCGTTTTTAGATTGCTCTTTGAGCACAAGCCCTGTACACCAGCAAGCTGCTGTTTAAGCTGTGTAGTGGAAACGAAATAACCAGGACAATAGGGCAACAACTTCAGTGGCAATCTAAGCATTGCTCTTGCGCGGGTACCTTGTAATGAAACAGTCCACGGAACTCTAAACCTTGAACCCTAAACCCTAACTCCCAAACCCTAAATAGCTCTAAACCTTGAACCCTAAACCCTAGCTCCTAAACCCTAAATAGCTCTAACTCTAAACCTTGAACCCTAAACCCTAACTCCTACACCCTAGGAACCCTAAACCCTAGGACCACTTGTGCACCAGAAGTGCTCCTTCTAGGATCCAGCCCTGCAAATACCTGGAATGTAGGGCCTGGATATTTCGAGCAAGATTTGGGGATTTGGGTTGAGGGTTTAGGATTTAGGGTTTAGGGGTTTAGGGTTTAGGGTTTAGGGTTTAGGGTTTGGGGTTTAAGGTTTAGGGTATACTAAGGTTACACATTGTGAATGATGTTGGTCATTGTACAGCCGTCTACGTTGCTCCATAATCCTTGCGCCTGTGTGCGCAGCACTATCTAAGAACGTTTCATGCTGGTCATATATTCTCGACATAGCCCTATATTTGATCGCCAAAGCATCCCCGGTGTACCTGCTACATACTCGATAGGTCGCCCTGACGAAGCTGAACCCATGGCCAAATCTTAAACTCCAGACCCTAAACGATCCCTAAACCCTAACCCCTAAACCCCCTAAACCCCCTAAACCCCCTAGACCCCCTAAACCCCCCCTAAACCCCCTAAACCCCCTAAACCCTAAACCCTAAACCCCCTAAACCCCCTGAACCCCCTAAACCCCCCAAACCCTAAACCCCTCAGCCGAGCAACCCTGGAGCCCCAACATGCACACCCAAAGCCCCGAACCGCTAGAGGCCCAAAAGATGCAGCTGAGAGGCGCTTGGGGGAGGTCCCTGCGGTTGATGAGGCCTACGACGTTGATCAGCAAAGTGATAGCCCTTGGCCGGACTTCATGGCGCAGGGCTCCCAGGGAGGGGGGGGTGAAGTAAGCAAGCTAGGTTACACGCTTCTGTTTCATAAACTACTATACCCCCGATGTGGATGCAATCTTACTCTCCGCTGCGGACTGTAGTATAAGTGACTGGTCACTGCACTATATGATCGGACGACATTCGGAATGCTCTTATCAGATTGAGATATTTCAGCCTAAGAGGGAGGCGCTTAACAAGATGCTACTGATAAATATTGTTGTTAGTATGAAGCCCTGCATGACGGGTAATGCAACAGATTTATTATTATCAAACTCTAAACTTTGAACTCTGTAATCCCTAAACCCTACATGTCCTTACTACCCCTTTGAAGGGACCTATGGCCTCTTTGTAGAAACCACTTTGGGATTCTTAGTGCCAATTGTACTTGGAGATTCAGGCTACTTATAGACTAGTTATAAACGGTACTGGTTATCCAATCATGACCCCATTAGGGTATCTAGTGGACTTATAAGTGAATTTCAAGGACAAATTTAATTGGGCTAGGATTATCCGAAACCTCATATACCCCTTCATAACCCTATGTGTCCCCTATGTAATCCCTATAATCCTATATACTCCCTGAACATTCCCAGGTTACAATTTCCCTGAAGGTCCAAGTAGAGGTGCTTCGAGTGTAGGGGTTAGGGCCGGTTTGGGGTTCGGGGCTAAGGGTTTCGGCCCTGAACCCTAAACCCCTGAACCCGGCCGACCCAGCGTAATGAATATAAAGAAAGAGATGGGGGCCTGGCGTTTGGGGGTTTTAGGGTATTACGATTTGGGGATTTAGAGCTTTAGAGCTTCATGCAAGGAGTCAGCAGACGATCCGAACGAGAATGACGCCTGGATCCTTAGCAGACAAATCACTAATCAGGCCCGCTTTCGAATGCGGCGATGGGACCGACCAAGACTGAAGTAATTGTTCCACACCTCTTTCGGTGAGATGTATGCTACGGGACATTCCATTCGTTCCTTACCTGGGCCAAAAACATGTCGCGTAGCGCTTTAGAGCCTTAGGGTTTTGGTGTTTTGGGCTCTAGGGTTATGGGGTTCCTAGGGCTTGGAAGTCTTGGGCGCCGCACAGCCACAGGAATGGGTTATGGGCTCTCGCACAGTGGGGTCCAGACTAAGGCTAACATGAAGCCCTCTACCCTAAACTCTACAACACAGCTTTACACTGTGTGGGCACCCATCCTGCTTTATCCTTGACCCTGAACTCCAGTCACAGCCTGAGCCTGATATACCCTGATTACAATATGTTTGGGATGCCAAGTGGTGCAAAATTGCCTCTACCCCTGAACCCTCAACCACAAACCCTAAACCCTCCAACCCTTAACCCTAGGGCCCGCACTGGATCTTTCGAGGGGAGATCTCGCGCCCGTGACAGGTAACCCATCGTAGGCAGATCCTTGCGTAGGGTTTAGGGTTAGGGTCTCTATAGGGTTTAGGGTTTAAAGTTTAGGGACATAATTCCCCAAAAGTCCCCCGTAAGCATTACTTTGAGGGTCATTGCGCACTAATTGCAACCTGATACGTGGCGACGACCTGAGAATCTCGCATCAGACTCATGGCGTCTCTTTGCACTTGGTCAGTGATCCAAAGGCGGAACTGCCAATGCGAGGAAGGTGACATCGTGGCTTCGTCCCTCATCCAGGGCCCTTGTCTGGGCAGTGCCATGCCCTTACGAAGCTGACAGAGACCGGCGTCCTCATGCTCACGGAGCGGATCCCCCGATTTCCGGGCTTTGCACCCAGCCTCTTCGTAGGAGCTTGTCCCACAGTAGCAGCGTCAGCATGAATTGAAGCGAACGGCTGCAAAAGAGCTCACGACAAACCCTTTTGCGCATAAGAAAAGGTGATGTTTGAACCAATTAAAGAAGGAAACACAGAGAACCCTGCTGAAGGGCTTTGGAATTCACAGTCTGGGGAGTTACCCTGAACCCTAAGCCATAAACTGTAAACCCTAAACCCTAAAACGCTAACCCCTATAGATAAAGAGAAAGGAGGCTCTGCTTGATGGGTTGCTTGGGAAACACTACTGTACTTGCATGTAGGGAACATTCAAATACTTGCTATGGATTACTAGGGATTAAGGGAATTGGGTTTAGGATTTAGAGTTTAGGGACTGGGGTTAGTAGTAAGTAGGAAATAAGGGAATACCCTGTAAAGGGATGAAAATAGAGATTATATTCCCTTATTCCCCAGTAACCACCAGTAAGAATAGTAAAGGGAACGGGAGCTGTCAGAGCTATTCTTGAGCAGTCGTCACACTCTGGTCGGACTGAGCAACCCCCAATCAGAATCATCAAAGCCCAATAAACCCTAAACCCTAGACCCTAAACCCTAACCCCAAATGATATCTAGCTCATGGTGAGGATCCCAGAATTACTGAGGAGAACAGGGCTTGGAATTCTAAAATCCATGTCAAAAAGCGCAACCCTCCGCCGAAACCTAAACTGAACCCTAAACCCTAAACCCTCCAGCCCATATAAACTCACAATTACTGAGGGTTCTCAAATTTCCTTAATCTCAAAAAATTAAAACCAAAATGCACACCCACCCCCCACCAAAAAAAAAAAACTAAGTAATGGTAATAAACACTGAATCCTACATCCAATATCCTGGCCCTGACAAAAACACAGGATCTGAGACCTGACCTCAAAAGCCACACCTTGGGTTTATTGCCATTACTTAAAGTTTGGGGGGAAGATCATTTTGATTTTAGAATTCAAAATTTTGAAATTTCAAAATCAAGGACAGTTGGGGACCCTGAGTAATGGTAAGTTTATATAAGCTTGAGGGTTCAGGGTTTAGGGACGCGGGCTTCCAAATGGGGGAAGTTCATACAAAGAGTCATATAAGGCATACATAAGAGGTATTTGGGGACGTGGAAAGTTATATCATATGGGGTACCTAAACCCTGAACCCTAAAACCTAAGGGGTATATAGTTAAGGCTTATGTCAGGCCCCCTCTTGAGGATCCTGTAGCTGCCTTGGAGAAAGCCCCAGCCCAAAACCCTTAACCCTAACACTTGTCTGGATATCTGTAAAAATATATGGACATATATATATATGTCTGTTTATATATATATATATACATATAGATATCCATATAGTTAACCGTTTTCAGAACTAGGGGTCCCCATGCTCCCGTATACTATGATCGGACCCCTACTTTTTGGAAGCCCTCATAAATTTATATATATATATGTATAGAACCATAAATCCCAAACCTGAAACCCAAAATAAACCGAAACCCTAAATACACGTACGCATATAATAGCTGGGCATCGCAGACATCAATGCCGTCCAGAAGTGCACCTGCGAATGAGTCCAACATGCTTAAGGTTGAGGTTTTGGGGTTTGGGATTTGGGGTTTAGGATTTAGAGTTGAGGGTTTGGGGTTTAGGGTTCAAAGGTTTAGGGTTTTTTGGGGCTGAGGGTTTGGGGTGAAAGGGGCCATTTTGCGGTTTTGTGTTTGGACTACTCTAAGCTTGCGGCCCCCATTCCCAAAATAGCATCACTACCCCAAACGCTTCTGAGCACTAGTAGAAGGATCCCCGTTCTCAGTCACCACCAGGCAACCAAGCATGAGTGGAATCAGTCGACATCTCACGCAGCTTTAAGGTTGTGCCAGGGTCCAGCTATGCGCACTGAATCGAACTACGCTAATAGTAACACTAGCAGCAATCATACTGACAGTTAGAATAATGGTAGTAATACAACATGCAATAATGGTGATAAAACCATACAAAGAGTGTAACGAACCGGGCGGTACTTCAAATGTCCCCAAATTCATTCATGAATAGGTTCCCTTATACCACAA